AAGAATAGAAGAGCAAACAAATTTACAGATTTTGATTCAGTTGCTTTTGATCTAATGGGTTTTTAAGAGAGCCACATAATTGTCTGTATAATAATATGATGATTGTTATTATAGTAACTGTTTAAGAAGCATTTCCTATGAACCAGGTACTGTAAGTCATTCCTCATTAAATATGTCTTATTTGTTATACAACCCTGTGATATAGATTCAGTTGTTAACCCCATTTCACAGATAAGGAAACCGTGTCTAATAAGTGACTACGCAACATTATACAACATTACTTGAGTTACAGCCCTGTGCTTCCTATTTCAAAATCACATTCTTAGCCTCTGCACTGGGTGTACCTAAAGAGGAGCCGTTGCCCATGGCAGAGAGCAAAACAGAGTTAGAGGCAACGGGCACTGCCCCTAGGGGTGACGATCTGACCAGAAAAGAACTGCTTGATTATTTATGCCTCAATTTGCTCAGCAATAAATGGAGATAGAAATTGTCTTTTTATGGGACAGCGTAATTGGCGATAAAATTAGTTTTCCCTCCTGATTTGATTGCAAACGAGGCAGCTAAGCCATGACAGCCTATAGGCGTGGAGAGAAACAGAAGGCCACTTACAGAACGGGGTTTATGTTGGTGGCCCAACTGCAGCTGCCTCATCTACACAAGAGGCATAATAATAATCGTATCTACCTCCTAGGGTGGTTGTGAGGTTCTGATGTATTAACATATGCAATAGATTTAAAATAGTGCTTGACAAATAACACTCACTAGCTAAACACTAGCACTGTTGGTACTAAAGATAGAAACTTGGCTACCAGGGATCACTGTGGCCATGAATGTATGTAACCTTCAAGCAGAGATAAGAGAGAAGCCCACACTCACCTTGGCTTCTTCTCAGTAGGCATTTGGTTTGGCAAATGAGTTAGTATAATCTTGGCCAACAGAGAGCAGATGCAGAAGGAATATGACAGCAATGGAGGAATGGGTGTCAGGAAACAATAATAGCTCCTAATAGTTACCATTTCTATGGCCAAGCATGACATGAAGTGTGTACCAGCTTGGTCTTGTCTACTCCTCACACATCTCTGGGGAGGTATTATTAACCGTGTCGTTCATCTTATCCTCCACCCCCCTCTCTGTAAAGTGACAATGGTGGGGAGTGAGGATCCGTGCCTGGGCAATCTGACCCCAGAATCCACACATCTCAGCTCTGCCCTCACTGCTTCTCCAGGGTCTACCACGGAGGACCAGATGTCAAGGTGGCGGGAAGGGGCAGCAGACTGAGCCACACTGTAATTACATCACAGCCTGCATTAGGGTTTGTGGAAATAAATTATAAGCCCGAAATACTTTGACTGCCTTGCTAACAATTAGATTTGAAACCGAGGCCACAAGTTGCAATGATACTTCAGGAGAAACTTTGAGTGAAGCCTTTTAGCACAGAACTTTTGAAAATATAAAACGCCAAGGGATCTTAAACCCTCAGCTTAGAAAGAAAGGAGAGAGGTGAGTACCTACCAGTTACCTACCAGTTTTTACAAAGTTTAGGTTAAATCTACACTTCTTTTTTTCATATGGAATGCTTTGTGAATTTGTGTGTCATACTTGCACAGGGGCCAAGCTAATCTCTGTATTGTTCCAGTTTTAATACATGCGCTGCCAAAGCGAGCACAATCTATATTTATTCTTTATATTTATTTCTATCTTAGCAATTGAATCTCTAAGGCTCCTTACTAAGAAGGGCAAAGGAATTCCTGTTATAGTCAGAGGTTTGTTCTTATAATTATCATCCATGGGTTGTTGTAACCGTACAACTGTATCTTTTATTATAGAAATTTACATATGCTGAAATGTCGTGGAGGATCATGTTAGTCCCCTCAAAGTTGTAAAATACACCACAGGAGGCTGGATTTGCTCACCAAACCTCGGATAACTAATCTGCCAACCATATATCTTATAAATTACTGTATCTTTTATTATAGAAATTTACATATGCTGAAATGTCGTGGAGGATCATGTTAGTCCACTCAAAGTTGTAAAATACACCACAGGAGGCTGGATTTGCTCACCAAACCTAGGATAACTAATCTGCCAACCATATATCTTATAAATAATACGAAATATCAAAAACATGAAGTCTTTTCTTACACTGAGAAAATATATGAAATCATTTCCTCCTTGAAGAGTTTTTTTTTTGCAAATAATTAGAGCATTTGTTTGGAAACACTGCAACACTCCCTCTGCTCTTGCACAAGCCTGTGCACGCTGGTAAAGTTCCTGACCTGTTGATTTCACAAAATTGTCCGGAGCAGAAGAGGTCATGGAAATGACCGGTGCTTTGCAAACAGAACAGGGATAAACAAAACTAAGGGGATATTATTGGCTGTAGAAGAAAGGCAGTATGCTGTGTGCAAGATTAATATTTCCCGTTGTTGAGACACCAAGCAACTTTGTGGAAGTCACATTATTACATCACAACTGAGTTATTGGCTGTAGAAGAAAGGCAGTATGCTGTGTGCAAGATTAATATTTCCCGTTGTTGAGAAACCAAGCAACTTTGTGGAAGTCACATTATTACATCACAACTGAGCCTTATGGAAAGAATACTGAGCAGAGTTAGTCAAATCTGCCTGTTTCTAGTCCCAGAAAGGATTGGTTTTATCTCCCTCCATACGCCTGCTTAGGGCTAGAATCCTGACTCCGCCCAACAATTAGAACTAGAAGGGACCTGAAAGCTTATCTAGTGTCTGAATCTGTCTCCAACTATTGGACCCTTCGTAATTCCCTTTGCCCTTCTGGTGAAGTGGCATTTCGTAGGCACTCAGTAAATACATGTTGACTAACAGACTGACCACCTGGACCTCCTGGGCTTCGTCTGGAAAAATAAGAAAGATGGTCAGATGATATCTGAAGTAATCAGCAAGATTAAACGTTCAGAATTTGGGTGCAATTCAGAAATGCTGTCAGAGTGGAAACGAAAGGTCATTTGGAAGCAAAACTCAGGTCACCTTATTCCCAAGAAGTCTTAGAATGTACTTCTCTCGTTAGTTTGCCCTCAGCCCTTCTGTCTCTCTTTCTCTTTCTTTCTCTCTTTAGTTCTAAATGAAAGTCTGCTTAGAAGTTTCTCATTTGCACCAAAAGTGGAATACTTGTAAATCCATTAATGAATAGATTAAGATTGATGAAAAGGCTTTTAAAAACTGAAATTATTTTTATACCCAAATATATACATATCACTAATAAGCTCAGAGCATTTTACAGCTCTTTTTCAATATCTAATGCTCTTAGCACATAACCTTAAAGGTCACTAGGAAAAATAACCCTATCTTACTTTCCAGAGAGAAAGCAAGGCTCCGTGGCGTCTGCTCCGCACCCAGCTGAATTCCCTTGCAAAGAAGATGTGGAGCAAGAGGAACTGAAAACCACCCCAGGAGAATGTGGGTCTTTGAACCAAATCAACTCCAAATGCCCTGGGAAGCGTTTGCAGGCTTTGTGTGTGTTGCCCCAGAAGAGAGACTTTTCACAAAGGGACTGTTTTTCAAAGAACAACAAGCAATGCTATTTTAAACTTGGGGACGGGAGATGGTGTCTGGACCGTTTACACAAGCGAGTGCCGGTGATTGACATCTAACCCCCATGTTTGCCGCTCCGGCTTCCAAGTAAAGCAAAGGGAAGGACTTCTGTCTGACAGCTCTGGAAGCCGCAGCAGACAGTTCTCCAGCAGTATTTTGAACTTTGCAACGTGGGCAGAAAACTCTGCCTAGAAGTACTAGACAAGGACAGGCTGGTGGTGTCTGTCACCCAAGTAACCTTGAGAATTAACGGGATATCAGAAAGCTATGAAGGACTCTTCCAGAGATTTGAGCACAGTCAGCACACACAGCACTTAATTGGTGCTTCCCAGTACTGTGTGTGCGCACACGCGTGCACGTGTTGTGCCAGTGATTGCTACGGGCAGTGCTGCGTGATTGTAAGTCAGGCTACCTGACTTCAAAACCTCACTCGACCATTAGCTGGGCTCATAAGCTCTCCAAGCTTCAGCCTCCTCATCTGCAGAGAAGGGACAATATCAATGGGACCTGCACCCTGTAAGGCTGTTGTCACAGTCAGATCAGCTTGCCCAATGACCATGCGGGCCATTACTGCAGCTCTGTTTTCCCCCAGAGGCACGATGAACTCCCCACCAAACAGGAACGTGTCTCTGACCCTTCCAAGTCCCACGAAAATCAGAGGCGACAGTACCACCCTGCTTGGGGTGTCAGGCTTAATAATAATAACATAATAATAACAAATTGCCCACCACAACTCCTCCAATGCTTTCTATAACATTATGGGTTTCACAAAATCTAGAAAGAGAAAGCAACCAGCTGTGACCAGCGAGGCAGGGCAGGGGAAAGTGAGCCCCTGCCGAGGTAAATTTCCCCCCAAAAGACTTATTTTAAAAACACAACCCTAAATCTTTCCAGGAAACCAAAACATAGCCAAGCGTGCTCCGCAGGGGGGCGGAATCACATTTCCTTTTCCCTGACCAGAAGTTTAAAATTAACTAGAAACACTACAATGACTGCCAGTGACCAGTTGGAACTTTTTTTTTAAAGAATAATAATAATTTGCCTTGTTTAGAATCTGAAACGTAGGGGGTTGAAACAGCAGCATTTAAACAGAAGAAGAGAGAGAGAGAGAGAGAGAGAGAGAGAGAGAGAGAGAAAGAGAGAGAGAGAGAGAGATATTACCAGCTGCTCCTTGGGTCTTTCAAAGACTGCAATGTCATCCCTGTAAAACACAGCGGGATACTCACCTTTCAGCAAAAATTAAGGAATCATCACCTTAAACACTGAATTCTGAGAAAGCCCAGGTCACTGAGCTCCCAGCCCAGATTTCCTTCCAACTCAGCCAAACGGTTTGCAGAGTTCAGGTCTGCCGAGTGGGGGAGGGGGAAGAGAGCAACCAAGTTTCCAACGTCTCTCCACCCCTGTTTTCAAAGGAAATAAAGAAAAGCCACTAACCTTGCCTCCTGTCCGGGAAGCGAACGGGGCCTGGCTGAGGCTGTCCCCCATAGCAAAGCGCCCCAAAGTTGAGGAGCTGAGCCACCAGGGAGACGTTTGCCAGCCAGCTCCTCTGGGCACATGGCATGATTCAGTTATTGGAGAGAAGAAAAGTCAACAAGTTTTGGCTCTCAGCTCCAGAAATCAAGTCCTCGCCTGTGGCCGAGCCGGCAGGGGCAGGGGTGCATGGTCCAGCAGTGGGGAGGGAGGGCTGCAGAGCTGCCCGCGAGCTCCCTTTGCTTTTTTAAGCGGAAAAGAGCTAGACCCCTTCCCCCGTCCCTCCCCCTGAAAGGGGAGTGATTCCGCTGACAGCGCCTGCCTTCGGGCGGCGGCGGGGCGCGGAACGGGGCAGCCGCGAGGACGCAGCTCGCCCCGGATCCCCACCCTCCGCCTTCCGCAGCCGGCTCCGCGCATCTTCCTCCGGGGCTCCCACCCCCGCCCGCGCTCCTCAGCCCCGCCCAGAGCCCGGCCCAGCTGGCCAAATAGGGGAGACCCGGGAGAGCCACCCTGCGCGGCCCCCAGACCAGCCCCTCACCGGGCCAGGCACAAAATGTTGCGTACAGAGATTGGGCACAGGAGACCCCAGTCGCTCTGTCCTCCCTAACTCATCGCCACCCCCTTCCCGGCCGCTCTCTCCTAAGTTCCTGAACTTTTTGTAACATGGCTCCATCAAGACTCCTCATCCACTCAGACCTCTCTGGGATTCTCTTCCACGGCCGAATAAGACTTTCATTTGAAATATTAATGAGCAATTTTTCTCTTTGCCAAGCTACGCAAAGAGAAATGGTCTGAGCTCTCCTGCTCGTTGGACCTGGTACAATTCCCTTCATCTGTGCAAGAGGTGACTGAAGCAAATGTTTGTGGGGCCCTCTGAGTCTGCAGGTCTCTATAGGGCTTTTCTACTTTTATAACCAGGTCTTTCCTAGACCGCCCCATACACCCAGAAGGACATCGGGAGTCAGGCCAAGAAGGTGTTAAGTATGTATCCAGTTTCCCTGGAGCGGGCATCCCTTCAGAGGCTCAGGCTTTTACATCAGTGAGAGAATGCCATGGACCAGGGTACTTGTCAGGCATCCTGAGAATTTACTGGGACAATCCAGCCAAGCTATTTCACCTCTGGGCTGAAACAGGCCTCCTTACTACATTCAGGAAGAATTTGGCCCCGATATTGAGTTCTTCCTGGCTGCCAGCCAACCAGATGCATTCAGCAAGAAGTTTAGGATACCAACACAGCAACCTTGAATACCGACAGGGCAGCAAAGTCATCCGTAGTGGCCCAAGTGCAAGGAGGTCCTCTCCGGGCTGGAGTCAAAGACTTCAAACTGGAATGCATAGGCACCAAGACCTTTCAAAGAGTATGTGTTTCCTGTGGTGGCTGTTACAAATTATCATAAACTTAGTGGCTTGAAACAACACATTTATTATCTTACAGTTCAGGACAAACCAAAATTGAGGGACTTTCTACAAAATAACTGACTCTTTAATCTTCAAAAGGCCATGAAAGTCAAAGGAAAACTGAAAAACTGTGCCAGATTCAAGGAGACTAAAGACATATGACAACTAAGTGCAACACATGATTCTGAATAGGATCCTTTTGTTACAAGGATGTCTTTGGAACCATTAGCAGAACTTGAAAGGGGACTGAGAACTGGGTGGTTGTATTGTATCAGTAGATTTTCTGACTGTGATGGTGGTTACACAGAAGAATATCCTTGTTTTTTGGAGATACACACTGAAGTATTTGGAGGTTATGGGGCATCTAATTGACAAATTACTCTCAAATGATTCAGACCACCAAAAAAGATCTACAAAAAAAAAAAAAAAAAGCAACTCCACTTCCAACTTTTCTGTAAATTTCAGATTATTTCTAAATAGAAAAAATCACATGTACTGGTATGTTCTCTTTATTTACAATGATTTAACACTTGGTAGAGAGGCCATAGACTTGGAAGTTATAGAAGCCTAATAATGAGGCATATGTATTTCAGAAGTTAGTAGCCTACTATATGCCCATGTACGCTGGTTTCTGTGCGACGGGGTGAAAGTACCCATGCGGCCATAGACTTGGAAGTTATAGAAGCCTAATAATGAGGCATATGTATTTCAGAAGTTAGTACCCTACTATATGCCCACGTACGCTGGTTTCTGTGCGACGGGGTGAAAGTACCCATGGTGCCAGCTGCAGACCTTCTCGTGATCAGATTGGTCCTCTGTTGGTCCTGAACCACATGCACATCATCCCCTTTCTTTTATTCTGCCTTAAAGATTAAGTGTGAATTAAAGAATAGCATACCCATTGTTCCCAAGTAGAGGAAAAAAATTAGGGAGAATGTGTCAGGGACTTTGAGTGCTACTGCCTTATCAAAAAGAGTATACTTCATTTATTCATTCAACAAATATTTACTGACCCTCTACTATGTCCAGGCATTGGGAATATAGCAATGAATAAAACAGAGACTCTCCTCATGCATGCACATGCTGTACTTTGGGGTAGTAGAAGTCAGAGGAATAGAAACTAAACCAATAAGTAAATATATACTATGTAAGATAGTGGTAAGAGCAATGAAGAACTATCAGAAGGCTAAGGAGGGCAGGGGATGATGGAGATGGGTGGGTTCCTGTTTTATATGAGGAGGTCAAGAACGGCCTCTCCTAATATGCTGATATTAGCAGAAACCTGAAGGAAATAAGAATCTGAGCAAAGTAGATATCCAGGAAAAGAACACTCCAGGCTCAGGAAATAGTAACAACAAAGACCCTCAATTGGAAATAAGTAGAAATATGCTTTGAGAGCTCTGGAGAAAGCAAGGAGTTTGGTGTGGCTGGAGTGTGCGGGCAAGGGGACAATGATGGTGGAGAGAGGGGGGAGGTCATGTCCATCCTTCGAGACCATGCTGAGGACTTTGAATTTTACCCTGAGAAAGTTAAGAAGCCATTGGGGGTGGGGTTTGAATGGAGGCGTGACAAGAACTGCGCTAGGATTTAAAAGGATCTATTTGGCTGCTGGGTTGAGAATGATTGTGGCGAGGCAGAGGCAGAAACGCAGAGAGCAGCTGGAGGGTTGTTGGATTAAGCCAAGTAAGATGTAAGGATGGATTAAATCAGGTGGTAGCAAAAGGCATGGTGAGAATTGGTCAGATTCTGGATTTATTTTGAAGATAGAACTGGCAAGACTTTTAATGAATCGGATGTGTGGTATAAGAGAAAGCGAGGAGACCAGGATGATTACAAGCTTTAGACTTGCCAATAATTGAGATGGAGAAGATGAAAGGGTGAAAAGAACTAGTGGGGGTGGGGAAAGTCAGAAGTTCAGTTTGAAACATTTTGAGATGTCTCTCAGAAACATGAGTGGAAACGTTACGTAAGCCAATGGGTATACAAGACTGGAGTCCAGACAGAGGCTCAGGCTGGAGGTGTCCATTTGGAAGTCATCAGAGGTGTATGGACGATATTGACAGCTGTGAAACAGGTTACCTATTGAGTGAATTTAGCGGAGAAGAAAAGTGACATGAGGACTGAACGCTGAGGTACTCCAATATTTAGAGTTCCAGGAAATAAAGAGGAATCAGCAAAGAAGACCAAGGAAGAGCCAACAAGACAAAAGGAAAATAAAAACAGCATGGTATCTTTGAAATCAAGTGAGAAAGATTTTGAAAAAGGAGTGATTCAATAGCTAAAACTGGAGGTAAGGGCAGGAGAGGAGTCCTGGCTCTACACGCCAGGCTGCGTGGAAGACAGAAACGAAAGAGACAGACCCAAGAGTGAGCTTGTTCAGTTAAAAAACAATCACCCCACCTACCAGTAAATGAAGCTCAATTAATGTCCTTGAAATCTGACCAGATTGAAAATTCCCTAACAGAGAGTGGCACCAGGAAGGGATGGGAGCACGGAGGAACGTCCATAGCCCTAGTTTACCCCACTGTTTATGTTCTCTTAACCCACTGAGCTCAACCAGAAGCCTAGGAGTAGCCCGGGGTGGGGCTCTCCTCAGAGGAGGATCCAGCTGACTGTCGGGGAGTCCTCTGGTCTCAGAGGGGCCCCTCTCTGATGCTTATCACTGCTCTTTGGTATCTTCCTGGAATCACTGAGAAAAGAACATCAGCTGTGCTTCCAGAAACTTCGAAGTGAGAATGAGATTAGTTCAGGTAGCAGTAAGGATATATCATAAGAGTGCCCACCCTTTATTTTTTCCCCAGCTTTATTGAGGTATAATTTGACATTTGAAGGTGCTTCAAAAAAGCTCATGGGAAGATTTGTATTATCTTTTAATTTTATTTTCGCATAAGCTTTTTGAAGTACCCTTGTATGATAAGCTGAATATGTTTGGAGTGTACAATTTTAAGTGAAGCCATCACCACAATAAATTTTGACACATATATATGCCAGAAGTTTCCTTCTGCTCCACTGTGATTCCTTCTTCTGTGTGTCCTAGCACAGAGGCATCCCCAACTGCAGGCAGTCACTGTTCTGCTTTCCATCACCAGAGATTAGTTTGCATTTTCTAGAATTTTAGATAAATGGAGTCCCACAGTATGTCCTCACTTTAGTCTGCCTTCTTTCACTTGACGTACTTATTTGAGATTCTCATGTTGTGTATGTCAGTACTTTGCTTCTTTTTATTTCTGAGTTGTGCTTCATTATATGGATATACAATTGGTCTGTTCATTCACCTTCTCCCTAAATATCTATTGACCATTAGAAAAATGATGGGGGAAACTTGGCTGTGGACACCTAGTCTAAAATCAGGCAGATGCATGCATATCACTAATTTATGTTAAAGATCTTTCCCTGGAGCTGAGGAAGCAAGGGCCCTAAGTGCTCCAACAATTGCATTTTGATGGATAGTACATGTTACTCCTCAGGATAAAGTGACTTAAACACATTAAAATAACAAAAAAAGTGAGCTTGGAAGATAACCGTAGATTAAGACAAAAGATCTCTTGTGGTTCTTCAAGTCTCAACATAGCTTGTTCCCACAGCTTGAGGTGGTATAGGTAATGTCCACAGCCATGAGATGAATATTAGATTCTTCAGGGCACAGAAAGCCAGACTCTGCTCTTAGGCATCTTTTTAAGAGACCCAGGAGAAAGCTGACTGAGGGCTAGGAGGCTCTGCTAACACTTTTATCTGTCTCTGCCACTCTCTGCAAATGTCCTTGGCAGTGAGGAGGTGTCCCTTGCTGCTTCGTAGCCCTCCAGAGACATGCTCCAGGTAACACTCTGGCTCACACAATTAATTACCTATTTTACT